TTATAGACAATTTATGAGTTTACCCTGTATAAGCTTTATACAGAGTTAAATGGATTTATATGGGGTTTGGATCCCATTGGGAACTGGGTGTCTGGGTGCTGAAGACAGGAGCACTTCTTAAGCTGTTTTCAGTTAAGTCTGCAGCTTTGGGGGCATGGTTCAGACCCTGGGTCTGTGTTTGCAGCAGGCTAGCTCAACAAGGCAGGGTTCTGGACACCCAAACTGGCAGGGAAAATGGGCTCAGAGGTCATCTGAGCACATCGGGTAACAGTCCCAAGGGGGGTCTCTGCGAACGAACCCGTCACACTGTTGTCAGGTTGGGAGCTGTTTGTGGGGGAGATTCTCTGAGGCAGGGGTGTTTGGGGGCAGGTGGGTTTGTGCCGGTGTCTCAGCACCCCACGGGGAAGCCACTTGTCCCCCGGGGAGATTCTCTTCCCTGCATGGCTGGATCCAAGCTCCTGGGGGTGCAGAGAGACGGTGCGTTAGAGGGGCCCATGCTGCCCTGGGCCCAGCCCCTGGGGGAAGCAAGGGGCACAGAAGGGGGGGTCACCTCACCTAGGGTGCCCCCCTTGGGCGGCTGTAATAGGCCTCAGCCAGGATCAGCCCCAGGACGAGCAGGACCACAGCACCCAGCCCCAGGCGGGCGATGTTGGCGTTGGTGAAATCCAGGGGGTCTACTGCGGGGGGAAGGGAAGAGTCACTTGGTGGCAGGGTAGGAGGCATCGGGGGAACTGGGGGTCTGGTGGTGAGTGAGGGGCAGGGGGCTGTCACTCCCCCTGATGTCTGGGTCCCACCCACCCAGAGTAACTGCCCCCATCCCCCACAACCAGCCCCAGCCCCTGGGCACCATGACCCATTTCCACAGCCGGTTCAATGGCAGATTCCTCTCCCTACCCCCACCCGGCCCAGGGGGCAGGAATCCCCCCCCCGCCCCCCCGTTCATCCCCAAATCTCCAGCTGCTGCTGCTCCCCACAGCTGGGGAACCCCCCAGTGACTCTGTCCCCGCTCCCCGGCCAGTGTCCCCTCTGCTGGGCCCAGGGCTCAGGGCAGAGCCTGGCTCTGAGCATCCCATCAGTGCAGAGCCCCCCGGAGGATGTGGCTGGGTGTGGGGCTGGGAGTGGGGACACCGAGCCAGGACCCTCACCTGCTACCACCAGCTGCACGGGGTCGCTGGGCTGCGAGGAGACGAAGGGCTCTGATTGGGGCCGGTAGCTGCAGCTGTAGCTCCCTCCATGCTGCCGGCCCACGGTGGGGATGCGGAACTCGGCCCCGTCCCCAGCAGGGTCCATATGTCGCTGCGGGTTCAGGTCTCCAGCCTTGTGCAGGAAGAACCTCACATCCCAGCGCTGCCCCTGACACCGGATGGTGACGTCTGCCCCTGGGGCGGTGACCCCAGTGGGGCTCAGAGAGATGGAGGGTCTGGGTAAGCTGGGATCTGCGCACAGGAGACAGGCTGTGAGAGCCAGACCCGGGCACCCGCCCAGCCCCAGCCTCCCCGACCGCCCCAGCTATGGGAAGATCCTGGGGGCGCCAGGCAGAGATTCTCTCCAAGATCCCAGAGTCCCCCTGACCCAGAAACCTGACCCTGCGAGCTGGACTCCCAGCCCCACAGACACCGAGCTGCGGCTCCCTAGTGCTTGGGCTGCTCATATGCCCGTGTGTGGCCCCTGCCTCCTTCCTGGGGTCCAGCCTGCCCTGGGGGCACGTGGGCATAGCCAGGCTAACTGCAGCAGCACAGGCTGGCCGGCTGAGGACAAGTCTCCCAGGGCGCTGGGTGACACGCGAGCGGCTAGTCCTGCTCGGCCATGGCTCCATTGCTATTTTCAGCTCCATCAGAACTAGCCCGGTGCCGCATGCCAGCCCCCAGCTCCAGGGCAGACACCCAACAGCCCACAGCTCTGGGGTGACCCCGGGGTGACGGCTCCCTGCCTCCGGCCAGGCCACAATCAGGGTCAGGCTCGTCTGGGCAGGGGACAGAACTTCCTCTGGGGCCGGGCCCAGGCTGCAGAACGAGCTCCCCAGCAGCCAACGGCCCCGCAAACCTCCCGACCTCTTGCTCCAAGGCCAGCGCCCTGCCCCGACCGGCCTGCTCCAGCCTACTCCATCAGGGCAGCGTGGCCTTTGACCCCCCAAACCGCCCCAGACCAGATCCTCCACAGTGGGCACAGACCTCCTCCGGGGAGAGGACGAGAGACAACGACCCGACCGTGACAGACGGGGCCACGTCGCTTAATGCTCGACTGGCAGGCGCCTGACACCGCGGTGACCAGGTCAGCATCAGACCATGTGCAGGGTAGAAGGCTGCTCTCCCCTGGCTGGGACCCCCCAAGTGACTCCATCCCCGCTCCCCGGCCGGGCGTCCCCTCTGCTGGGCCCAGGGCTCAGGGCAGAGCCTGGCTCTGAGTGGCCCATCGTTGCGGAGCCCCCACGAGTGTCCAGCTGGGCCTGGGGCTGGGAGTGGAGACACCGAGCCAGGCCCCTCACCTGCTACCACCAGCTGCACGAGGTCGCTGGGCTCCGACCAGGTGTGGGGATCCGAGCCAGGGGATAATAGCAGGTGTTCCTGCCTCCGTCTGACCGGCTCACTTTGGCGATGGGAAATTTGACCCCACTCGAGTCCCCGCCCCGCGCTGCTGCGTTCCTGGCCCCAGCCTTGTACAGAACAAACTCCAGACCCCGGTGCTGACCCCGACAACGGACGGTCGCGGCTCCCCCCAAAGCGACCCCCCCTGCAGGGGCTGAGGGAGATGGAGGGCTTGGGGGAGCTGAGTTCTGTGGTGGGAGGGAGACGGGGGTGAGAGAGACCCAGGCACGG